CCTACACCACAGTCGTGCTGTGTACGCAGTTTTAGGCAAATGCGCTTGTGTTAACATGGCCAACACGGGCACGGCAGGCACTCCAGGCGAGGCAGGCTGCAGCAAACAGCAGCAGCAGCAGCATCAGTATCAGCAGTTGCAATTAAATGCTAATGGCGTGTGAAAGCCAATTTTGAAAAGTATACACTGAGAGAAAACGAAGTGTACTAAGTGCAAGGCAATCGTACAGCTAATTTGTGGAGTGCCCGAAGCGACTGAACGGGCTGCGGGCGGAGGCCAGAGTACATTGACAATGGCCATTCAAGTTGCGCTTGAGTGGCTTTCAGTGCTGGCCAAAAGTCGTAGCATACTTTGCAGCGCACTGCAAAGAGTTCAGTTTGTTAATACTCTCGCAACTATTGTGAAGTTTTGCAGACATCCCTGCCTGCCCGCCCGCTCCAAATACCAATTGATTGGGGTTCTGTGTTTTTGTAGGGTGGGAGGGGGTGTGAGTTGGACAGCCTTTGTCTACGCGCTGGCATTCATTTAATTGCTCAAAGCAAGGGCAAAGCAAAGCTGCGCGCATATTTTGGACTCGCCGCAATGAAACCTTTTATTATAATTTAGGCAAGGCACGCGGCTGGCCAGCGGGGGCAGAAGATGACGCCGCCGGAGCGGAAACAACTAACCCAAAGAGACCCCCAATGTGCGTGTGTATGTGTGTGTGCGTGCGTGCCAATGTTCATTGATGTTGACCCAAACTAAAACCGCAAATAACGCAAAACACAAACAGCAACAACGATTACAACAACAACTAGTGAGGCGCAATGGGCGTGGCAAAGATCACAACAACAACAAAAACAACAGCAAACAACAAGCATCGAATTATGTCAGAATCCAAAGCCACAAACAATTAAACAAAATTGCAAATTAGACGTTATTTAGACCAACAAACTGACTCCACAGTTGACAACAAGAAATCGACCAACCAAGCGACCAACCGACCGACCGACCGACTGCCCGACCTACTGGCCACGCCCCATTTGCGGTTGCTGCACAGTGTGGAAATGTCCATGGGAAGGAAGTGTAGGAAATTGCCTATTTGCAATTGTAATTTATTCATGTGGTTTAATATGCCGTGAAGCGGCTGGGCTCCAAACAAAGCGCCTCCAAATTGAGCAAAACAATAATTTTCCCCATCAGACTTTACTCCACACTCCACCCTCCTCCCCTGCCCCTTTTCCGCATCTTTCTATTCTTTGTTTGACATTTGGTTTGACTAATGACTCGATGTCAAGGTCAGCCGGATCATCGTCATGATTATTGCTCTCGCTGGGTTTCAATTACGAGCTGCGCCCAATTTGGCCAAATTAACATAAACTTTGACAAAGGATGCCAAAAGTTATGTGGGATCAAAATCTGTAACAGAAAAACTGCGGGTTGAGTGGGTTAAGCGAATTGATTTGCAGAGTGGTTCGTTAAATTTGAATATGTATGTCAATTAAGCCTAGTTAATGGTCCTGAGAACAGTCGAGGAAATAGTTAAAAATATATAAATATAAAATATAAGAAACTACGTTTCTTTAAGAAAAATTTAAATTTTAAAATGAATTTATATTGAAAGGTAAGTTCAGCCCTTGAACAAAATAGTATTGCTCATAAAAATTGGTTAAATTTTGAAATAAATCACAGAAATATTAGAGCCCAAAGCGACATTGAATGCAGATGGCCTTTGCAATAGCATTAAATGCTATTAAATGCCAGTTACAGTTTTAAGAACGTTAGAATAGTTTAAAGCCTGAAAATAGCATTTATTAAGGCAAACTATTCCATATTCATGCAAAGGTAAGTCAAAGATGGGTCCAATTGCATGATTTTTGACAGATTTTCACACCGAATAGCTACTAAAAAGATAAATACACATTCAAAGTTTTTGCAAGTCTGAAATCTAGAAAGGACATTTACTACGAATTTGCCTCTGTCTGCAACTTGATTTGAGTTTAGCTCTTCAAATGTTGAACAAATTGAAATGAATGCGAAATTCTTGTGTTTTAAAAGTACCAATTCCATACGAGACACTCTTTTCATTCAGCAGTCACCTCGCCTTACCATGCTCCTAAGCTGCCATTCAGTAGGTTTCTTTTTTAGGTGGCAAAGCAATTTAAATTGGCCGCAATGGATGGCTCGTTGCAACTAGCTATGGCTACTTACTCGTACTTGCTAAGTCTGCTAATCCTGTACCCACTAAATGGACTATAGATTGCACTTTTATGTCACAACATTTAAAACGGCTTAAAGGCAGCACACGACTGCACACACAAGCACACTCACAGACCACGCTCACACATTTGATTAGAAGGGACAACAAAGTTGCTTTGGTTGATTGGCAAGGCCAAAACTCTCTGCCATATCTCCCGCTGCCTTTGCTGTGGCATAGAGCCAGCGGGTGGTGCGGTTGCCTGGCACAATAAATGAGAGTCCATTTGCGTACGCCCATGCGGAAGATCAGCGCACGGAACAGAAAATAGAGTACGAAAATTGTTTTGGCTGTCAAATTACGTAAACATTGTCATAAATGAAAAATTCATTCAGCAGCCGCCGACGTCGTCGCCGGTTTTCATTTGCTGTCGCCGTAGCAAATTTGTCAATCTCGTCGAGCCTTTTTTTGCCGGCAGCCAGCGACAGGCTGCGAACTGGTTACTTGGTCCTGGGCCTGGGCTTAGTCGCCGTCGGGCCTCACATGAGTTTTGGCTTCGCTTTTGTTTTTCGTTGTTTGGATTTTGGCGCTGTTTTGTTTACATTACTGCAAACCAGCAAATTGCTAGCGCTTTTTTTTTTCTTGCTGGTTTTTCAATTCGATGCTGCCTTCTGATGGCGAAGCATGTGGAGCCGCGTCTAAGTCTGTCCCGGTCTGTCCGCAGGCGCGACATATTAATTATTCATTTCGATTTTTGGTTTGCCAACAGCCTGTTCCCTTTGCGGGCGTAGAGCTGCTGCCCAGAATTGAGCACTGGGCTGTGGGCGTTCGGGTTTTGGTCTGGGCTTTGCCTCTTTTGGTGCTGGGAATCCGCACGGGTTGCCGACGAACGGAGCTGCTTGTGATTTATAAACACGCGCGCGCCGCACTTTGGTGATTTACTGCAAATTGCTTTATAATGTTATATAAATTTTGTTGCTCATGTTGTTGCTGTTGTTGTTGCTGTTGCCTGCTTTTGAATAATTATAAAAGAAGCAAAAATGCCAGACAACAAAATGGTTAAGAGGCACGCCAAATGCACTTTGAACTCTCGACAGATTAAGTATACGCAACGCTCTTTTGGGCTGCCTATCAACAGCTTTTTACGCTTGCCAGCTGTAAATATGGCGTTAATCCGTTAATTTGAGCTGTGTGCCTTTTTGCATAGACTTGTTTATTTACTTTTATTAAAATATTAAAAGCATGATAATTTTATGAATTGTGCTTAATGAGGCTTAAGCCCATTTGGAATATCATTTGTCAATTAAAAATTAAATGAACATATTCAACTTAATGACAGCAGCTGCTAAAACCTTACAAATTTATTTAACAAATTAAATTGAAAGGTTTTTTCAACTATTTACGTGACTAGCTTAAAAAATAATTCGCATGAAAATAAAAGCAATTTATTGATTTGCAGCGCAAAAGTATTTTTTGAGCATTGCTCTGGGAATGAGAAAAAAAACGGGCGAAATGAAAGCAAATCTGTGTCTGGTTCAGATTACATGCATACGAGTTGAGTTTTATGTAAATTTCTGTATGGCTGATTTTGCCCTCTTTTATTATTATTTTTTTTTTTCTACTTTGCCTTGGGCTATGCCTTTTTTTATTGTATAAATTTTTCGTAGCTGAAAATTAGAAATGTTCCACCGCGTTCAACTTCACTGACAGTGCGTGGCAAATTGCTTTTCGAAGTCTAAAGTCTGGCCCACACACACATGCAGAGGCCGTGCATACACCCACACACACAGGATCCCACACACACATAAACAGGGAGATACACACACATAAACCAATTGCTAACAATAATAAAATTCCGTTTTTTGGGCTTTGCTGCGCCGTTTCCGTTTCCTAACAATAAGTACAGTGCACAGTGACTGGTTGGTGGATGCAGGGGCTTCGCAGTGAGGGGAGTTAGTGTAATTTGCATGAACAGAAGACGGCACATAATATCCATGCATTAGAATTATGCCCATTGCCGAGCCAAATGGCAAATAATGGCAGCCAGTGCCGGAAAAATGTTCTAGATAAATCCGAAAGAAAAAAAAAATCGAAAATGTTCACATGTTGCGTATTGCGGGGCGAACGGGCAGGAGAAATTGTATAGCTGAGTGTGCACATGGCGTATGCGTAATAAATATGCTGGCCGACTCTCATTATTTTGACATAAATGCCGGCGAATCGATCATCCAGCGCCGTTGCACATTCAAAATGATTATGGTGCATAATCAGTGTGCAAATAGCGAGGGGAGGCAAACGGGAGCTAACAATTACCTTAATTACGTTTCAAACTTTTAACAGGATGGCATGAGGGAACGAAGGGGAGCTTTTAAGCGAGATAAGTAAAAATAAGTTACTATTTTGGCAAATTAAATTGCAAAGCTGATGCTGCTGTGGCAGGAAGGGAGGGAGGCGTGGATGGTAGGGGTGGGGCCAAAAATCGTGTAATAGAAAAATAAAAGGCAAATGCTGCCATAATGGACCGCCGGCCATTGGCTATATCATTATGCAGGCGGCGTGCGCCATTATCGTTTTGCTCTCATTTCCGTTTTGGACTTTTCGTTTTTTGGTTTTTCACTTTGCAGGAAGCGCGGCGGAGGCGTGCCAATGAGTGCATTTGGCTTTGAGGCAGCTGCCTCTGTTGCTCCGTTGCCAGCTGCTGCTCACCTACATTTCAAGCATTTTTGTCACAGCAATAACTTTCATGTCAGTCCACTAAACAGAACTTAACTGCTGCTCCTACACCCACTCTCCCGTCCCCCCCTCTCTCTCTCTGTCTTTTCAGGCAAGCTTCGCGCATAAAACAGAAGCTGGGCAATAGAAAAGGCAAACAGCGCACGACTTTGCCCGAAGCCAAAACAGAGTTGCCTTTTGTGCCCGTCTGGCAATTGGCCAAGTTAATAAAGAGCGTTAGCGAGCGCGCCGGCAGACGCCGATAATGACGTTGCTGCAGCAGCAGCTGCTTCTGATGTTGATGATGACGCTGCTAACTTGGTTATTGCTGCCAGCATAGAAACTGTCAGCCAGACAGATAGACAGACAGAGCTAAAACAAAAGCGTTCCCCGTTACGCCCAGCCAACCGCCACGGCCCCACGTTCCGGTCCGGGCCAGGACCAGGCTTACTGCATTTCCGGTTGTTGTTCCTGTCGCCGCTGTCGCCAACATCGCCATGCCACTCCATATGGCCCAGAGCATCTGCGTGGCATGGCTGCTGCTACTCGCTGTGATTGTTTTAAGCGGTAAGTGCCCATAGTACGGCCCAACTTTTGTTCCACTGTATTCATATTTATGCCAGCGCTGGCCAAAGACTTTAGTTAAGTTAAGTTTCGCTTTTATTGTTGCCACAGTTAATTGTTGGCATTTGTTTGACGGCAAATGCTTTGCAGGCCCCCAAGCTGCTGCCGACTGGCGAAAAGCTGGCAACTGCAGCGCCAACAAATGAACGGGATTTTGTTTCAATTAACAATTAGTTTGCACAAAACTTTTGCTGTAGTTTTGGGGCCAAAGTTACCGCAAAAGCTGTTGGTCATGCCATATTCCATTAAATAAAATAATATTGCGTATACGCCCTGCGACCAGCGTTCGTCGCCAAACTGCAAGGCAAAAACTTGAATGCATGTACATCATACAAAATGCTGAGTAAGTTAAAATAACCGAATACATATAAATATCTACAAGATACAAATGCAGACGAATGGCAAATTACATGCATGCAAAATGAAGCAAATCTGATAAAGTTGCAGTTGAAAAATAGAACAAGTAAAACGAGACGAGGCGAGCAGGCAAACTTTTGTATGTCTGCTCGACTTGCTACACAATTTAGAGGCCAATTATATATCAGCTAGTCAAATTGAAGCTACAAGCTGAAGAATGAAGATTTTTATGTGCATGTTGGAAAGTCAGAAAGTCTAATATTTAATGTTAACTCAACAAAAAGAGGGAATGTGAAAGATAAAGAATATTTTGTAGATCCTTTGAATACTCCGTAATACCGACAAGAAATTGGAAAATAAAAATATATTGTTTACACTTGCCCACAGCACTAAAGCAATTAAGACTCTATCTGAGATATCTTGCCTGGCAATTATTTTATTTTTTTTTATTTGCTAACAAACATAGATTCTATAAAATTGAGCATGTGCATATTTGACCTGGGGTTTTATTTGAATGTGTTAAAAATAAACAATGTTTCGCGACAGTCAAGTTTTAAAGCATTGAAATGGCGTGCGGCCATATCAATAAAACATGCATGCAAATTGCGCATACGCCACGTGCTACCAGTTGATTGCAACAAATTAACAAATGGCTTTGTTCATATAACTGGGCATTAGTTAGGCCAATGCGAAATGCAAAAGACTAACACGATTAAAATGCTTAACAATACTTTGAACATGATTAAGGCCTGGCTTGATATCTGTAGCTGTAGCAGAACGACACAGAACAACAACTTATTTAATTAACAATTTCCATGGCAACAGCAAGAACTGCAACAACCACAAGGCTGATTCTTAATATATTTGATTTATGCTTAACGTGCGGTAAATTTATTGCAACTACAGCAACAAATAGCTTTGAACGGTTCAATGGAACAATTTAAAAAATGCTCGAATTAATTGCATTTACAGCGCACATAAAAACAGAGAAAATACAAAAAAATGGCTCAACACATATTTCAAAATTCAATTAAAATAAAATAAAATGAAATTAAATGAAAAGGACCTGCCGACTGCTGCGACACTATGCAATTTCCGCTTAAGGGCGCGCCAGGTGGGCATAAAAATAATTAAAGCGCAACAAAAACAAACATTGACAACGACGCCGGCGGCTTCCGCTTGATGTTCACAACATTTTTTGTTTGTGTTTGCATCGGTTGGTTTTTGAGTCCGATTGAATTACAACTCCGTTCTAAATATATTTACAAAAAACCCAGAAACAACAACATAAAACAATAAACCCCGTTTAGAAAAGCAAAGGTGTGTGAGCTGAATTGACTGACAATGGACAGCTGGCTGCGGGCAGGCGGGGAGGCGGGCAGGCGTCGATTTCCAGCAGGTCAGCTGGCGAATGTCAATTTAATTAGCACATCCAACACTTTTAACGCAACTAATCGCAGTGGGAGCCCCAGCCATCAATCAATCAGTCGCTCAATATATCAATCAGCGGACGATGCCGACAAATTTGTTGAGTGAATTTGTGTGTTTTGTGGCATGAAAAAAGAGCGAAAAATAAGTAGCAAAAGGAACTAGCGCGAGAAAAACTAATTGATAATTCAATGCTCTGCAATTGTAAGAAGATAATTTTTAAAGCTTATTAAGTTGAGCTTCTTTTATAAAAATAATATATAGGAATAAGAGGCAAGGAGCTAAAAACTATGCAAAAGTCCAGCTTAAAATGTAAGCCATTAAATTATAAAAAAGTGAAAGTGATTTTAAAGGGGGAAACTTTTGTTTTGATTTTAATTTCTTTTTCACTTTACTTTCACTTAAATTCTTTTCATTTTACATTCGGTTTTGAAGCCAGCTTATGGATGGATAATAATAGTAGAAAACATTATTATTCAAATCTCGTTAATATTTGCCTAACCATAGTTAAGCAGCTGCTACTAAGTTACTTTAAGTCCCGAGTAAATGTGTTTAGGCTATATTAAAGCATCTTCTTTCCCTATAAACTCTCTAAAAATTCCCTCCGTTTTATTACCTTCATCAAGTAACTCTGTTTATTCAACATACTCTTCTTTTCGTAATCAATGGAAATGTATATTAGCGTTCGCTGGCAATGTTTTTCAACATTTGCATGCACATTTTCTATATTGATTATGATTGATTTAGTGAGCTGGCAAAACTGAATATTATTTTTTATGATTCGACTCTGGATATGGGCGAGTGCATATATTATTGCTCGACTGGTTGAATGCGATTGCGATTTGCCGTGTGCAGCAAATTAAACAAAGTCGAATTTACGAGTTGTTCGACGCTCAATAAAAGCAATTTTAATATTAATATTTTCAAGTTGGTCAACTGTACGCGCACACACACACACCTCTACACACACAAGCACACACACACTCCTGTGCAGCATAGAAATTGCACATATTTGTATAAAACTTGTTTTATTTGTCCAGGCAACCCAAAGTCCAAAAATAAGTCAAATAAATAAATGCATTGGAATGAAATTCGGCGAATAGCGTAAACCAAACGTGCCAGCCTGCTCGGCAACAAGCCAACAAACGACCCCTCCCCTCAAGCAAAGGGGGGAAGTGCTGCGCCTGCCCGCGCGCGGTCTATGGTCAAATATTTGCAACAAACTTTTTGGCCTGGCCAAGTCATTGAACGTTGGCTGGCGAACTCAAACAGTGAACACAGAACAAAAGTTGCACAATTCACGTCGAGTGCATGAAAGCAGCACTGTGAATGGGCTTACAAAATACCCTGTAATAAATATTTAATGCATAGCCAGATCAATTCTCTTGAAAGCCTGCCATACACGCCTTCAGAATTAAATGCTCAGCATACACAAGATGAAAAAGTACTGTGAAGTCCCGCTGGCTTGTGGCCGGCTGGCCAGGTGGCATGCGGCACGGCTTTAGCAGCCAAGCGAAGTATTGCCACGTAGGTAATTGAGTATGAATGTGGAATGTGTCGAAAGCGTTTTTGATATTTGCCAAACAAAACGTTGGCATGGAAAGACGTGAACAAAGAGAAAAAACAAGAATGAAAAAAAATGCCCAGACAAGCTGGGCAGGCGGCGCCCGAGCAGGGACCTGAACTGCTGTACATCCAGGTAACGTGTGGGTGCCCGCTGGCAAGCAAAACAAGTGGAAAATGAATTCGATACATTATCATGACGTCAAGTCGTGCGTGGTGACTGCCTGGGCTGCCAGGGCCCAACTCGAGGCCAAAGTGGCTGCCAAAAAGTATAAATTACGTGTAATGCGAAGCGCTCCCCATCGATGGCAGCCATTTCTTATGCGAAACACCTGCAGCAGACCAGCTGGCAGCGGCACGGAGACGCTACTACTGACAGACGGCCAAAGCAAATGTGCGCATAAATGAATTACCAATGAACCGCATGCGATGCTCTCTACGTGCCGCATTTTATTTTCAATTTGGGGCCCAACTGGGGGAGTGGACCATCACTTGGGCGCTAATTTGTGGGCGGTATCCACTTCCAGATGGTCGAGCATAGGCGAGTATTTAACCATTTGACAGATGCGCTGCACAAAGTGCGTCGAGTACTTGGCTGCTAAAAGCGATCCACACAATTCGACAGCCTACATAAAAGCGCAATTTGCGCCATTATGCGTCGAGTTCCATTTGATTACAACACGATGACATGAACAACGCACACACTTACACACACATTCCTGTGCGTCTGTCAGAGGTTGTGGGTGGGTAAAAGCAATTTCACTAAATCTGCAATTGTTATGTCGCCTGCTAAACAACTCACTTTGCCCATGGTTGCCACACAAGCTGCCTCTCCAGCGGCTTCTTCCATTTGGGCAGCCATAAAAGCCAAACGTTCTCACACGTCAAATATTTATATTGCATTGCTCCCTTCCACTCTCTAACTCTCGTTCTCCCTCTCTCTCTCTCTCTCTAAGCACTCATTGTTGTTCCTGTGCGATATGATTTGGGTATTGATTAAGCGTCAACGGGGAGTTGCCTCTGCTGCTCTACATGTGCTGCCTCCAATTACTGCAGCGCTTTATATCCCCATGCGAGAGCATGTCTCTACTCGGTTTTACTACATTTTTATGCTACATGGTAAGAAAAAAATGGGCAGGAATGCGCCGTAAATCATGCAAAACGATTTGATGTGCTCTATTAGACAGTTTATAGGCCTAGTTAAAATGTTTATGGGCCGAACTTTACGGTGAACAGCAATTAAAGATAATGTTCCTCCTGTTGATCAGGATTAGCCATAAAGCAGCTGTGTAAAAAGGATGATGAATTGTGTTAACAAAAAATAAAAGAATATATTTCGGATGTAGCTAATTTGTAAGACAAAAAAACGTAGGGTTTTTTTCAGACATCTTAAAACATAAAAGAATAGTTAAAGACCTTTTACTATAAATGATATCCAAATGAATTATATTCGATATAATAATTTCTATTTGTTTTTAACTGCATTTTTTAGTTCAGCCGAAAAGCACTTAAACTAAAAAAAGTTTGGTGAGAGTTTAAAAATTGTTCAGATAATAATAATTATTGTTTTCCTAGTCACACACATTTTACAAGTT